GCCAAACCTACAGAGACTACTAAAAGATATTCTAGAGAGAGAGCAAAATGACCACAACTCCATGAATGAGAATGGAAAGAGCCCACAAAATAGGGCAAACAGTTAAACATGGGAGAATAAGAGGTATAAAAAGGCAGTCTTTCAGTTATTCTTTTGTATACAGCAGCAAGATATTTCCATCAGCATACTCTACAAATGTACTTCTCCTGCACCCTATGGATCATGATTCTGTCTGGGTCTACAGGGTGGATATTAAGGAAACAGCAGTAGCTTAGTCCCACAAATGACACCTGGACACCAGTAAGTGTTATGGACATTATCCATGTCCACGACACACTAGAACTTTGTGTGATATCCTATCCCCAAACCGTTAGAAGGGCTGGTCATTTATTTGTCATTCCAGTATTTATCTTATGTTTTATTCTTAGTAATTCTTTACTATCATGAAAACTTTTTCTTAGTTCAATTGTATCTGGGTATTATTTTATTCATATTTCTTGTGTAAAAGGCTCATTTTTCTTGGAAATGTAGTGTTACAAATTCAACTAAATTCAGAAATTTTAAATATTTAAATATTTATTGCCTACCTCTACTTTGAGAATTCTAATTATATGAATATAAGTTTCTTGATTTTGACACAGAGTGAACTATTATATGACTGATCTGTAAATTCTTCACTTTTATTTTGGACAATTTTTATTGTTATGTTCATTTAAGTTTGTAAATAATTTATTTACAATGTGCAATCTATTATTAATCTCATGTGATGTAATCATTTCAGAAATATTACTCTGAAAAGAAAAAAAAAGAAATCAACCAACAACAAATGTTGGAGAGGCTGTGGGGGAAAAAGGAACCCTTCTTCACTGCTGATGGGAATGCAGACTGGTGCAACCATTATGGAATCAGTGTGGAGACTCCTTAAGAAACTAGGACTGGAAATCCTGTTCAAACCAGCTATCCCCCTACTGGGAATTTTCCCAGAGGAACTGAAAACATCATATCATAGTGATATATATGCACGTATGTTTATAGCAGCACAATTTGTGATAGCCAAATCTTGGAAACAACCAAGATGCCCATCACATGAGGAATGGATGAAAAAGATGTGGTATTTTTATACAATGGAGTAATACTCAGCTATAAAGAATGATAAACTTGAAGCCTTTATATTTAAGTGGATGATGTAGAGTGTGCCTAAGGAGAGTCACATGGACAGAAAACATTCTCTCAGGCTTTCACAGAGAGCAAATTGGTCAAGCAATGGCCATGACTCATCCAAATGGCTGACACTGACAGTTTATAGGATCTGTAAACTGTGGTACAAGGTTTCAGGGTAAATCCTGAGGGGATTTGATTGACCTTGTCAGATACAAAAGTTACATTTCTTGTTATATAGGTCTTGCTTTATCTTGGCCTTAACCATTCAGCATAAAAGTATCAAAATGAGGTATACAAAGTAAAGCCATATTAATATGCTGAGCTGTAAAAGGCTCAAGTCAACAACTGACATTGCCAGTCCTATGGATAACCTACTACTATTGTGGACTACTGGACTATATTGGATTATTTTGTTGAATTCACACACCTACAATATTTAAATGGCAATGGAATACCCATCTCTGAC